AGGATACGTGCCGTGTCTGACTGTGTGCAGGGCGGCCGGGAAACGGGGAAGGAGGAGAGCAGAAAAAGGGAGAGGGAAGAGGGAAGGTAGGGGGAGAGAAGAAAGGGGGAAAGAAAGAGGATCAGTAGAAGAAAGAAAGGGAGAGTAGTGGAGAAGAAAAGGAGGAGAAACAGGAAACGAAGAGAAGGATAGGGAAACGAGGAAGAGAAAAGCGGTGGAAAATCGAAGGGGTATGGAAACAAAGAGGAAAGGGAAAATAAAAGTGGAAGGAGAACAGGGAAGGAAAAAGGAAATCTCGAAGCATTGGGAAAGGGAAAAGAGGAAGACGATAGGGAAAGGGGAAAGAACGGGGAAAAGGAAGAGGATAAGAAAAGGTGACAAGTGAAGAGGAAAGAGAAAAGGAGAGAAAAATGACAAGGAGGGGATTGGATAGGGGAAGGGAAAGGGGAAAGTGGGGAGGGAGGGGGGAGAAGAAAGGGGAAAGGAAAGAGAAAAACGAAGAGGAAAAAAAGCAAAGAGAAGGAAAGGGAAAGGAAGGTTTGCGTGTAGCATATCAAATCTGTGCAGCCCGGCACCCCAGATCAGCCTGGTCCTCCCTGGTCCAGCCCAGGAACAGGTGCCCTGGTGCCGCCTGGGTATTGGACAAGTACAAGGTGACCTGCCTGCCAGCCAGCACAGGGATGTGGTTACACTCCCACGTTCCTGGGCACAGACTCCTGGGGCCTGCCTGCCCACATCTCCCAAAGCAGCTCTCTTGGGCATAGAGGGACTGGAGGCCATCCTGCACCTCCCTCTCCCACACTGCTCTCTTGCTGGGGAGAGCCCACCTCCCTCGCTCTGAGAGGCTGAGCTGGGCACAGGTTGTCTGCCCCTGCTCTGTCCCCAGGCCTGGCCCAGATAGACCAGCTTAGCTTTGTCTCAGGGATGGCAGGGTGGGGACAGAGCTGTCCGAGAGTACAGCTCCTGGGAGCTAACCCTGCCTCTCCTTTCTGCCAGGGGCCCGTGTTGGAAGGAGATCTAAGATGAAGTTATGGGATGTTGTGGCTGTCTGCGTGGTGCTGCTCAACACGGTCTCCACCTTGCCCCTGCCCACCGGTAAGACGCCTCCCAAGGGGTCCCCTTCAGTGATAGAGGGACCTGAAGATGATCTCTCCCCCATCAGCCTGCTGCCTCCCTATGCTGTGCACAGTGACTGTAAGAAACATTCCCCTTTGTAGCAACTGCTGTCTGTCTTGCTAAACCTGCTTCCCTTTGCTCAGGCATCAGGGTGAGGGAAGGATCCCCCTCTTTCTGCCCCCACTTCTCCCTGGGGCAGCGTCACTGGCTTTGGTCTTGCTCCAGCAGCTCCAAACCAAGTCATTCTCCAAAGCTTAGGCTTAGCAATTTCAGTGGCGATGCCCCCGCCCACTCCAGCCCTACCTTCCTGGCAGTCTTAAAATTCCTTTGGTTGAAAAACATGGAGAGATGGGAAACTTTGTTGAATGCAGAGGAGCCGAGAGGAGGATCAGGTTCATACACCTCGCAGTGCAGGCACTGAAGATCCTTCCCCACTGTCTCAGCCTCCTCTCTCTTCTGAGACCTGCTAGTGCCTGTAGTGGGCGCAAGTCCTACTGGAGGTTAGGCTCCATGGTGGGAGACACTGTACACGTCCTAGAGTGCTGCTGAGCATCATTAAATCCTCCTTGAATTCTTATCCCAAAATTAGTGTGTCTGCATGGAAATCTACAGAAGAGTAGCTGTGGCAAGATTAGGAGCTTGATGCAGTGCAATCCACATGAACTATCTCACAGTAAGACAGTTTACAATCCAAATGACAGATAATAATGCCTCGCTAATAATAGGTCTCCTACAATAGCAGGTACAGGATTTTCACAGTGGTATGCGAGCGTTATGCTAACTCTGGTAGCTTTTTTAAGTGAGAGTTGATACATCTCAGTAAGAAATGGCAAAATACTCACATGAATTGTGGAGATGTTCACTTCGTAGAGGCATGAACGCAGCGTGGATGTTGCTTCTTTTGCCCTTGCTCAGCCTGCTCTGTTTAGCTCGTTGCAGGATGCAGACAGTATCCAGTAATTGGGATTAATTTCTGTCTCCTTATCTGGAGGCATCTGCTTTCCCTGCGCCTGCCACAGCTCCAGCCTCAGGCGGCCCCACTCTGGTTTCTCTGGGAGCAGCCAGGCTATTGCAGCGTGGAAGTACCGAGTAGGGAATCGTGTGCCGTGACTTAACTTTCATCCCTCCCAAACACCCATCTCCTCTTCCACACACACATCTATGTCCTTCTCCATTTATTCTTCTTCTCTTTCCTTTTCTTGGTAGCGTTTCCCTCCTGCTGGAATCTTGCCTAGGCTGCTGCCTCCGCATGTCCCAGCCTGGGTTCCTGCTGCTCACAGACTGGCAACCCCTGACATCCTCTCAGCCCCTCCACACAGAGACCTTGGCCAAAAGTGATTCCCCCCAGGGCTCCAGCCTGCCAGGGCCGTGGGGCTCTCACACGTAATGGTCTTCTTCTCCAGAGTGAGCCATGTTGTGGATAAGTGCTGTCCTGCAAAAGGCAGTGATCAGCCTTTCAGGCCACTGTGCTGTTCTCTGCACAGGCTTGCTGTAGCACCAGTAGCAAGAGGAACATTAGTGGGAAAGCACCACCAGTCAGTTTGTAGCTCTTTCAGAAGCTTCAGGGTGGGAGAGCATTAATGCTTCATCTTTCTGGAGTGATAGTATTTGTAAGATGCCTACTTTTATCTTGAAACCATCTTCTGAGAATATGGTTCCTGGTGAGCTGGTTTCTCTGCAGCAGCTCAAGGGGACAGGCAGTAGTAGCAATCTTGTGTGTTTCTAATGTCCAGAACTTCTCATTGTTGCCTCGTTTTTCTCCTGTGGATTGGGTAAACAAGAAGCAGAAAGAAAGACAACCCGTGTTTTACCTGAGCTATGGTAGTATCAATAGACAGCCTCTTCCAGACATCTCTGTTTCCAGGGCACAGATGTAGGCTTTGCCAAGCAGAGCTGGGTTGCAAGTTATTGCCCAGGATAGTCACTTGAGAAAGGGCTGATAGTTTGGTCTCAATCTCTAAACCCTGCAGATCACAAATGGATGGGCCTGGCTGTCCAGGGAAGCAAAGCAGTGCTGTTCTTCAGATCAGAAATTGAGGAAAACCTAGGGAGTTCCTGTGGTCTTTGCACAGCAGCAGTTTACACAGCACCCATGCCCGAAGTCAGAAATTCTTCTCTCCCCTATACTGCCAAGTCATATAAGTCAGGGGAGACCTGCAGAAAGGTGGCTTGAAGAGAGCAGTAAAATACTTTGATCCAGTTTTGCACTCTTTTTACTTGATTTACAAGTGTGTGGTGTCTGGACAACAGTCTTCAAATAGCGCTTGAGGCTGATCCTACCCAGGCACATCGCCGCCTCCCCACTGCAGCAGCACTTTGTTCAAGTCACCCCCCAAATATGTCTTTGACTTATTTGTTTCTTCCATTTACAATATGGTGGCATGCACCCTTAAGCACATGAAAGGCAGAGAATGATGTACACAAAAGGAATCAGTGTCTAGACCATGTGGAATTCCTTTTTCACTTTGAGGTTTCTCTTACAAGCAGAGGGCAATGTACACAAGCTTGCAGCTCCCTGGGTGTCTGCTGGTGAACCTGCCATGTCTTAGTATCTCTGTGGATGCTGTTGTTCAGCTGTTTTGCTGAGGGCTTTTGCAGGAGGCAGCTCGCAAAGTGGTTGGGAACACCCTCATCATGCATGTTGCCTCATATGCGTGGGGCAGTGCGTGGGCACTTGAGCAGGACTGGGGGCTGCATGCATTCAAAGAGAGGTGCACTGCTGTGCCCTAAAGTAATCCCTGTGCTGTCTGAGTAGGGAACAGCCATTTTGCTCCAAGGTGTGCACTGCTCTTACTCCAGAGAGTCTCCTGCACATCACTTGAAGCAAGGGTTAGTAGGCTTGCGAGACCAAGTCCCACTCCTAAGAGGGCAGGACAAACAGCTTGCTGAACCACAGATTTTTTTCCCAGGTCCTTGACACCTTTTGGTGTTCTCATTTGATGGGATTGCTTTTTCTGTAAAGTGCTCTGAGGTCATCTGATGTTACCCCATCCCTTTCAGATTGGCTTGAAACCTTCTTTCTTTCCAGGCTCCAGGCAGGGTCCTAACCTCCTAGGCTGATCAGGTGTAATGTGCTGACCTGTGCTGTTCAGGGCAGTAATCAGAGATGGCAGAGGGTGTTAGCAATTGCAGTCTTCTGCATTTTTTAGTGTACTGGAGGCTGGAGTGTTAGTAGCCTCCATAAATGCAGTGCATTGGGGATGAATCCAGTATTCATAGGTGTCTTGGCATCAGTGTTCACAGAATACCTTATTTCACACACACGAAAAAGAGTAGCTGTAGAGTTTGTAACAATTCATTTGCTTCACTTGTGCTACAATCTGCTGGAGGAAGGACACAATTATCTTAAATACCAACTGCAAACAGAACAAATGAAACCAAATTATTATAAACTAAATACTTAGTCAGAAGCTTCAGAAGCTTAACAATGCAGAGGGAGGTGAATACTTGTTCTGACTTAGACACGGTGAATACACTTTGTAACTTGCTGCTGTAGGACATAATCAATATATATGTGAGGACTGAGTGTCCTAAGATCCAGGACGTGGTATGTAAGCCTCTTGACCAAGTGAGCATCTTTGGCTGAGAACTAGTGGTAAGCATGTAGAATTAAATAAAAAATCTCACTATGAGGTTAAAAGGTGCATTTTTTGCATCATAATGTCTGAGTTACTCTACAGCCACTGAATGGTCATTTATTGCTGGAGCTCCTTTGGTGTTTGCTGTGACACACCATGGCATGTTATACCTATGTTCAAAATTCTTCATACCTCTGCTAAGGGGTAGTTGATGTCAAGTTACTGCATTTAGCTGTGGCTTTATCAACTAATATGGAAAGTATCTAGAATAAGCTGTGACATTGTAGAGCTCTTCAAGGCAAAACCAGTATTAAATTATACTTCCAACTGAATGCATTTCCTTCCCTACAATATTTATTAGGCCCATTCAGTGTTACATACCAGACCTCTCATGTTTCTGTCCAGGCTTTCCTGCTCAACACACCTACAGTGTGGCATTTGTGCTTTAGCCTAAGACACTTGGAAGCTGCAGAGGTAACCTGCCCATGCACAGTAAAGCCAATGCATCAGGGAGGTGTAAGACACACTGAGCAGGTGCCACACTGCATCATTCAATCTCTGTGTGCCCAGCACAGCCAGTGACTCCAGCACAGCTAGTGCATTCAGCCAGTGTCAGGCCGAGTGCGTGTGTCCCCGAGCCAGCAGGTATGCAGTAAAGTTTGTTTGCTTGGGGACACACAAGTTATCTAGGCATTTAGAAATCTCAAACATTCAAGTTTGTCCATTCATGGGCAAAATTCTAGAAGAAAGAAGAGAGCAGGTCTACAATCCTAGAAGCAATTACTGAAAGTTTTATTTCTTTACTGCTTTTCACTTTAGGGACCTCAAAAATTTGCCAATGAAAGTGAGGATCCCTTTAGATGTTCTGCAGGTGTTTATTGGTAGATAACATGCTATGTTAGATGAATATATAGATGACAAGCTCCAAAACCCCTCTTGAAAGGATGAAGAATGCAGCTGTGTGAAGTATTGTTGCTGAATTTGATGGGAGAGGCATTATTGGTCCACTAGCAGAGAATCCTCAAATTGATAGGTTTAATGTCTATAAATTATACTACTCCTGATTAGGACTGCATAAAGCAGTTTTAAAATATTTAAAGTTACAGAGGTTTTATGAAGCCATTTGGGTCACTGTGTCCCACCCCCTACTACTGCAAATGTTCAGGGATGGACACCTAGTACAAATTCACAGTCTTCATTGCACACACACACACAATCAAGCAACTGCAATATAAAACTTGTAGTACATAGGCCAAACCTTACATAACTATATTTTAGGTGGATTCTCGTATTTCTGGGGTAATAAGTTAATGGAAAGAAATAAACAAGGAATTGAAAAGACTACAGCATAACCATATTCAGGATAGTCAGACATCTAAATAGGCCACTAGCACATTAGTGCTGGTAGAGTGGTTGGCACTGCAGAGTGGTCAGTTCTAACAAAATCAGCTCTAGTTTCCGATCAAGTAATATTTGGTAAGGTGAACCTAAGGAAAAATT